CCCAAATAAGGAACCCCCAAGTACGGGGACTCCCCTCTGGCACCGACCGCCAAGACAGGGACGGAGCAGCCTGGCGACCGTTAGTGGTTCGTCCCTCTCATCTTTCACCTGTGTTGTATCGGTGAAAGTCAAAACTGACACGCTGCGAAGAAAACCAAGCAAGCTGTAAAGAACACAAGTGCAGTAGTCCTTCCATCAAGGGGTGCCAATAGCGATGCTGACAGAAGCCATGTCTGCTATTTAGTTGCTACTCGTCCTGTATATCTGGTACAGGACTCGCTGCTTCCGCTCCTGTTTATGGAAGCCTGGCGCAGAGTCCCTAACCCTCAAACCTCCAATCAATAAACCCGCTCATGCCTGAACCCTCCCACCCTGAGCCCTCGGATCTTTAAGATATGAATTTTGGACACTCTATCCTGCACCCTAAACCCCAAACCCAAGTTATGAAATGATCCGGGATCCTGGCCAAGTTATCCGGGGCCGCGCACGACTCCCAAGCTGCGATGCGACGGCACTTGGAGCCAGCAAAATGATTGCGCGACACAGCGTTTCGGTGTGGTTTGCGATTTTGATGGTTGGATTTCATGTAGGTGACTACGGTTAAACATGCGCGCTTTCGGGCAAAGATTGGAGCGTGGAAAGGGGTGCTTTGGTGTGCGGCATTTGTAATTGGGATGCGCTGACGAACCTATAGTGTTATACAATCTTCGTGACTTCCTCTAACTTTCCGGTCGCGGGTTTCGACACACGGGAGACAGGCTGCTTGCCGGCGCTGCTGTGTGGTGTCAGGTGTTACAGGCGAAGGTAATCAAACGAACCAACACAAGAATCCAAGGAACGACACCAATGAGGATACTGAGCCTTGCGGTAAGCACAGTTGTGATGCGAACAGCGGCAAGCTAGGTAGCAAACCTAATCTTCTGCCCAAGATCCGTTGGCTAGGAGGAAAGGAGCTATGGATGCGAGAGTTGGCCCTATAGACCCTAATCCCAATGACATCCTCCTGGTCACTCGCTGCTCTGCCAAATTGGTTTCCCAGACCAAGACAACCTGAGAAGTCTCAGTTGGGGCTCGAACTCCTTTCTTTAAGCCTATAAAGCCACGACTCTATAGCCTAAAGCTATTATACCCTAAAGCCTAACAGCAGCTTCCAATGCAACCAGCTCAAAGAAGTTTCTCAGGCCCCTGTTTTCCTAGCGGAGAATGTTTCTCCACAGAGTGAAACGGTCCATGTTCCCGGAGAGCCCACGACTCCTTGATATAGGAACTATATATATATATATATATATATATATGTATATATATATATATATATATATGTATGTATATATATATATATAGAGATATATATATATATATAGATATATAGATATATAGATATATAGTTATATAGATATATAGATATATAGATATAGTTATATACATGCATATATGTATATATACCTTGGGTTTTTAAGGAATAGTTGGGCTCTCTGCGTTCGGAGCTCCCCACAACAAAGCTCGGGAGCTCGGGCCATTCATTACAAATCCTGAAAACCCTTACGTTTTTGAAGGGTTCCGCAGGGAATGGATCGGATTTCTGTTCTAAAAGGGGCTTTACAGTGATATGCCTATCGGAACGTCTCCGTCTGGCCGAATTGCATGGCAAACTCATTCGAGTCTCCTCGAGTTGCGTACAACTTGCTGCAGGGTAAGAGTACGAGCTCTGGTTGGGGATCATTTACGGTTTCTTTCAAGGGCTGCTTGGATCGTTCTTTGAGAGCGTCATCAAGGGCTCTTGAAGGCCTTCGTCTGACACCTGCCGTTTGCGTCTAAGACGTTGCAAAAGGTTTTTGGAGGTGTCGGGACGATAGAATCGGAAATGCTTACTGCGGAGTCGGTCTTGGACGACAAAAGGGAACACCGTTTGGTGCATCATTCGACACAAGTCTCAGTCTGGTATTTCGGGGTGTTTGGGCTTTAAGGGATGGGCCCAGGAATCCCTCTTCAGCATGCTTCTTTGCGATGGCTAGAGCTTCCGTCGGCGACCTCTTCTCCCAGCCAATGTCCTTCGGACACGGCCAGACGATCTGAGTATTGAGATTCGGGTGCTCCAGCCGACACACCAAGCTGACAATGAGATGCAGCCTACATGCTAAGCCCTCAAACCCTTAACCTAAAGCCGATGCCATGCGAAATCGAAGTTTTCGAAGAAGCCGTCCGGAAGTACACGCGACATTGCGACATGTCTAACCCGTTTAGTGCTCCTTAATGTTACACCTTGTAGAAACCTCAAAACTAACCCTTACAGTAGCATCCTTATGTGTGTTAATATTGTCAACTGATTATCACTGGCTTTCGTTGGAGCTCGGTAAAAGCACCCGATGGCACGAAACGCGGTGTCACGAGGAACGGCGGATGATCATATTCTCCGCAACAATGTCCCGTATAGTCAGTATTCCCAACCCTATCCAAGATCCCATACAGTTTGCTAGAACCTGAAACTGTAGTCCAAATCATTCTCACTCCTCGCAAAGCCAATGCATATCGTCATAAGTGAGCATCCGCCACTCCGAGCCATGACAAAGATCACTTGGAACACTCCATCTCCTGAATGGGTGGTTGTCAAAATTATGGTCCCTTTTCGGGTCCTTATTATAATACGGCAGCAAATATTTAGGATACCCAAAAGGCGCCCTAATTTTGACAACTACCCGAATGGGTCGTGGATCCGGCGCGCATGAGTTGGACACGATGGAAAATGCGTAGAAAGATCCTCAAGAGTGAAACCGTCCTTCCACCCTTAAAGGGTCCAAAGTACCTTTATAGCAGATTGTAGGGTGTCTAAACTAGGAATTGCTATGATGATTTGGGGAAGTATCCCCACATAACAATACTTAGGACCCTTTGAGACTTTTGCCACATCAGATGTTACAGTTCTGCTTCTGATCTGACTCGTACCATAAAGAAGGCATCTTCATTTAGGGACCTTAAAAAGCACATAAGCATAAGCATTGTATGGTGATATCCCTACCTGATTGGGCTTCATTATAAGGGGGCTGATATGGGATATCCCTAACCTTATTGTTGCTTATGTGTCTTTTTGGGGCCCTATTCATTGCCACTACTGCCGATGGATATCATTCTCATCATCTATCATGCTTGCATCTGAGACCTCAGACACCACTACATGCTTTATCTTGTATGGTTGTATGGTCAGACCCTAAGACGAATTCAAGCTAAAACACAGGGACGCTTTATTGTAAGCTTAAAAATTGCAAAGGTCATAGGTGGAGTTATACCGAGGATATCGACAGAAATGCCTGGGTCCCCCTGGGTTCTTCTCCATTGGATGCAGCATGTGCTGCTATTTCGATGGACTGCCTTCGAAATCCAGTACACGGAAAGGCCTGTAGACACGGCAAGATGCCGACCTGCAACCAAAGCAAACGAGTTCACGGCACACAAGCAAAGCACGCGATGGAAAGTGAAACTTCAGTGTACCCAAAAATCAGGTACTTGACTTAAGTACAAATCGTTCGTAGTTTTATAGGTTCATACTTTTCTGAGCCTTTGCAACACTGCATACTCAGGGGTCTAGGGTAGGATTTAGGGTAGGGTTTAGGGTGTAGGGTTTAGGGTTTATATGTAGGGTTAAGGTAACAATCAGCTGTTAATTATATACTAAATATTCGGCACCTGCGCTATCCGAATGCCTCGGACGAGGTGCTGTTCTCCGGCATGTTGTCCTAGACACACTCGGGTTGGGACTCTGGGCAATGCTAGATTTTTTGAAGCTGTAGCGCGGTCTTCGCGACTGGGCTATGCATGGGGGGCAACAGGGGGATGCTCGGCAGACTTGCTAAGTCACAAAGAGACTCCAAGTAGGACTTGTTTGAAGCAGGACTTAAGGTTTGAAGTAGTTGAGCTTACAGTTGTCACTCTCGAGGACATGCAACGAATCAGCCGCGCTCCCCACGGCGCAGTCGGAAACCCCACCTGTGCAGCTGCCTACGCCTCTTGCATATATTCAGGTCGTGCGAGACTTTTCATAAATTCCGGATTTGGGTGCTAGGGTTTCGAGTTTCAGGTTTCCAACCCAAAGAGAGACGATGTAGCATTTGGGCCCTGCGCCTGAAATGTTTGCTTGCGGAACTGGGGAATTTTGTGTTGTAAATGGAAGCCTAAACCTACTCCCCTGTGACCTTGAACCTCGGATACCCGCAGCAGAAAGAAACCCCATCTCGTCATGCACACTATCCGCAGTCTCAAACATAGCTGTGGTTGGTTACCGCATTTTACCTTAAAACAGACCTGCTCAAGCCAGGAAACAACACCGGAGACTGCAGGTAGTAGATTGATTATGTCGAAGGCATTCCCTGTCTCTCATCAATGGTCTCAATACCTTGATCGATAGGAAGCTGGTCTGAAAATTACCACATCATCCGAACCCCACGTCCCAAACCCAAACCCAAAGCCCCGAAACCTGAACCCTAAAATTTGCACACTTCTTGGGCCTAAGGGCTCAGCCTTGGAATGTTTGTAGCCTGAACCTTCCACACATCAAAACGTCCGGGCTGACAGCACAACATTGTACAAGCTAACTGCGTGACAACGCACTGAGGCAAGGGCCAGAACATGTTCAACAGGGTTCGTGCTATACGTAACTAAACTATACTTAATTAGACAAGGACGATATGCGGATGCGGTTACAGCGACCTCTATTTTTGAACAGCATATGTAACACCAGAAAACATCTCTGACTTGAGCCACGGCCTACCCTAAATCCACGAAATCAAACGAGATGAACGTCACCTGCCACAAATGCTTTAACCATGTGCCCTGAAGCACTGAAGCCTCAAACCCCAGACCCTAAACCCCAACCCGTGAAACCCAACCTAAGCCACTAAACCCTAAACCCTGTAGAACCCTTCACAGGAACCCCATATGGCCCTAGAGAAGCCTTGCAAAGGAACCCTAAACCCCTAAGCCCTGAACATCCTGAACCCTCACCCTCCCGCCTAATCCTGCGGGGGCCCAAGTCTCGCCGGACGATCCCTGTGGCCACCTTTCGTGCGAGATGCAAGGGTATAAGATCGGGGTTTAGGGTTTAGGGTTTAATATAGGGGGCCTTAATAATAATCAGAATAGGGTTCCTTCAAAGGGATCTATAAGGGTACTATATTCCTATGGCCAATGCAAGGGTTTAGGGCTTGCAACTCAGCGCTACTGAGCCGCTGGTCCGGTTTCCGCATGATGTCCGCATGGTTATACAAGATTTACAGGGTTGTCGATGTTTGTGTTTACATTTATGCTTCAGGCATTGGGGTTCCAGACAAACTACAACAGGTTTTAGGGATCAGAAGTCAGGCGGCCTGCTGTCAACTTACATATCCCGAGATAAACTCATCTTCCCCAATGAAAACAGCGGAAGCCCTGGAAAGCAGGGTCATTTGTTGTCGACCTGGTAAGTGCCCTAAACCCTAAACCCCTAAGTCATGAGTAAATCTGGAGCTCAGCGGAGGAACGTGGAACGCTCAAAATCCTGATAATCCTAGGGCCTTATTGATTGAGAAAGTTGGCAAGGCGAGAGTCGCTTGGGCCAGAATTAGAAACTCAGCGGAAGCTGTCCTTCTGCCCACATGTCGATGAGACTCGTCAGGGTTCATCCGGACTTGTGTGGTAGGTCGGTCCACGGGCAACGAGGCTAGCGATGCGGGCCTCTATGCCGTTTGTACAGTATCAGTCCGAGACAACGCTTCAACGAAACCAAGCACCAAATTAACGAGCCGACATCAAAGAAACGAATTACTCACGACGAATTAACAATGAATTAATATCTCACAAGTCAGGTCGGAATGACAAGTTTGGCCTCTTTACCGATGTCTTCGTGGATAATTGCCTACGGAGGTCGACAAAAGCCGCGTGGAAACAAAAGGACTCATGACATGGCCTGCTTGTCAAACCGGGTGTGCGCTGCGACCAGCTCAACTTTGCGGTCGAAGCGGTGGTTTTGACTTTGACATGTGGAACAAATGCGCTTTGAAATCGCGCCTCAATACAGGAAATAAAGTACCTAAAAGTTTTCAACAGCTGCACAGTCGTAGGTTCCACAAGCACAAAGTCGGTCGTTTCACCTCTGGTAACATACTTTCCTTCAACCAGAACCGGGACACTCGTCAGGGTTCAGGGTTTAGGCTCTGAAAAGTCAGTAGAACAGTTTCTAGTCCGGATACTCGTCGGAAATCCTTTAACCCTGAATCCTGTCACCCTAACCTTAAACTCTGGCATATTTAAATGGAAAGCAGGCAGGCTCCAAAAAGAGACAAAGAGCCAAGAGCACAGCGCCTGACTTCTTCCAGTACTGCAACACGTCGAGCATTGGTGGAGGAAGTACCTGCAAACAGGCTCCGATAGTGCCATGAAAGCCCTCACCTCATAACTTTTGGGGTTTGGGGTTGTGGTCATCGGAATCGTCTGATTGAAACAGCTGGTAAATCACAGCAGCTTGACGCCTTGACAGCTTGAGCTTGCAATCCCTAAACCCGAAACCAAAACCCTTGTGACTTGTGATGCTGCCTAAACGGCCCTAAATGCTAAACCTTACACCCAAGAAACCTTCCTAAGCCCTGAACCCTAAACCCTATACCCTAAACCTTGAACCGCAACAGCGAGGCAAACATGACCCCGGGCTCACCGCGCCGGGAGTCGGCGGGGACGGACGCGGGGCTCCCCGGGAGTCGAACCGCAGGTTGCAAAGGAGGGCGCAGAGGTTTTGCTGAAACCTGCAAGGGATCTATTCCTTAACCCTGAATAACCTACCTGTTCAGGGTTCCTTACTATGATTTCCTTATGTAAGTCCTCAAACAGGTAGGTTATTCAGGGCTAAGGTAGGGCTTAGGGAATTTAGGGTTTATATAGGGTTTAAGGAACTTGAAGACTTTTGGGTTTATATTCAGAAGGTTTAGGTACTTAAGGCTCGGGGCTTAAGGGCTTTAGGGTTTAGAGCTGAAGGATCACGGTTTAATGATGCAATCCCTGGGTTTGCTATAGCTTAAAGACATGGGGCTTAGGCTTTAACGGGAACGCCCGGCAAAGCAGATCGCGACTGCTATCGTCCAGCACGGGGAGTATTTAGGGCTCGGGTTAAAAATTCAATTTTCGGGCTGGGTTTGGGGCACAGGGCATGGGGAGAAGGAGCGGGGAGAGAGAGAGAGAGAGAGAGAGAGAGAGAGAGAGTTTGCACAAATGCGGACGCCACAAATATCGGCCGTGAAACCTGAACCCTCAACCCGAAAACCTTAAAGTTCCTTAAAGCCTGAAACTTAGCCCGAAACCTTATAACTAAAAATCTGACCCCTTCAAGCAAAGCCTGAACCACGAGCTCCTAACGCATGGCGTTCTGACAGAGACTTCGGCCTGAAAGCAAACCAAAGGATAGACACCAGAGGCAAGGAAACGCACAAACCAACATCTCGCCCATAAACACATGCAGGTTAGAGAGAGAGAGAGAGAGAGAGAGAGAGAGACAAACAAGAAGGGGGAGAGACAGAAAGAGGGAGATAAAATTCGAACAGATCTCGATAACCTTGGCCACTACTGATATATTTAGAGCTGAAGCTGGACCCCACTCAGAAGAGTCGGCGGGGCATGTCAATACACACGTAGGAACAAACGACCGAAAGATTCATGAGTTTAGGGTTTAGGGTTTAGGGTTTAGGGTTTAGGGGAGCTTCGGTTTGGAAGTGGGAGGGGGGCCAGGGCTATCGGTCAAGATGATAGGATTTTGAGACTACAGCTTCTGCACTACCCGACCTCGAGAACGTCAGCCATGCACGACCCAAACGAAAGAGTTTCAGAATTCCAGCACTTTTGCGGCTGGTGCCAGGATTGCAAGACAAGAGCCGCGGAGATTGAACTCGGATTTCGAGCTTTGGTTTCCTTGGGTGTTGGGTTTACTCAGGCCCCTATACCAATTCTCGTCAAAACCTCGACTTTGGCTGCGAGCCAAACCCTAAACCCACCCTACACCTGACCCTCTCGGCGAATCCATCGGGCTTCGCCACTACCCTAGAAACCCTAAGCTTCTGAAAAAGCCGAGAGGCCAGTGGAAGGTACACTGCACCGAATGCATCTTCTGCGAAGGGTTCCGCCTCTGCCCCGTTGACCTGAGGGTTTAAGGTTTTTGGGTTGGGGCTTCGGGGTTTAGGGTTCCGGTATAAGGGAAGATCATCGCGCCTCGAGTTCTGGGATTCTGATCAGGATGCCTGCAGTAAACATGCTTTGCCTGACAAGCATGCATACACACAAACGGAAGGTACATTGACATGTAAATATATGCTCTGTTCACATGATAGGTTCATGCGGGACTGTCTCTCTCTTCTCCGTGCATGCACATGACACACATGGCTTTGACTTACGACTTGCGCAATCGCCTGACTGAATCTGACTGATGCCCAGTCCTAGTCCAGAAATGTCTGATGGAGCACTGGTCTTACAAGTCTCTAAACCAAAACTGTATATCATGTAGGAAGAACCAGTAGTTCCATGCCGAAGCACGGCAAGTGCAAGCATTCAGACATCTACAGGATGTGTTTTTGGCTTTGCGAAAGTCCAGATCGCGGCAAAGGCCCCGACTGCTTGCGTGCCATCTGTGGTGACGGAGCCTCACACAGAAAGTGTAGGCTCAAGGGTCGCCTTCCTCACTTTGCTTGCATTGAACATGCCCGGGCCGGCAAACGTATGGCAGTCCGGCAGAATCTTTAACAGTGTGCCAGTGATGAAGAACTATGAACGATCATGAACATGATGATGGAGATGATGATGCACACTCCAAACCCTAAGGCGCCTTAAACCCTCAACCCTAGCAGAAATCGAAACACTGCAGCAACAGCACTGCTTAAGAAATCACTGGTTTAAGAAATTGAGCCCCTCGGACAGCCGTGCGATAACACAAATATATACAAGAAATGTGTATATCTCAATATAGGAAATCCAGGGTACCCTGGACTCGGCGTGCCAATTTCTTATTTTGCTCTTTCTCATTTTGTCTTCGCTGGTGTTGTTCGCGCAAAAAACACCAAGAAACTAAGGGAGTTTCCAAAAGCTCGGCGCCAAAACCCTTACAAAGGAAACCAAGGAATGAGAGGGATATATATATATATATATAGGCGTTTCAGGAGTCTTGGACTGCCAGCCCCAGCGGATAAGCACATGAGCTGGAATGGGAAGTGCTGCAGGCTCGAATTCTGCTGCGCCTTCATTTCTTGCTTTTGTCTTCTATTTGCTGCCGTTGCAAATTCAGAAATTTGGGCTAAGAAATCCATGGTACCCTCAAATCCCGAAACCTTTTTCCAAAAAAAAGGTGCGCTTCAAAAATAAGAAATCGAGCCCCCGGTCACGAACAAAATAACTGTTTCTTAACCTTCGCTGTTCCGAAACGTGAACCGACAAGGAGGTAAGGGCTCAGAGTTTAGTAGCTTGGGGTTCAAACCGACAAATCTTCAAACATCAAAGACGCGGACAGAAGGCCCTCCACTTTCAGAAGCATGGATGCCTCCTAGTCGCGGCCAGAAGGATAGTAGAAACAGCTTACGATATGCTAAGGAAATCTACAGTACTAGAATCGCAAGCCCCTAAGTTAGGTCCGACAAGATTGATGCACAGGCACCCACGCGCGCGCACACACACAGACACAGAGACAAACTTACACTTCCTCCAAGAAGCCTCCCGTGCTGGAGGAGGTCTGCCCTCCGACATACATCGAAGGGCCTGTGCCCACCTCCCAGTATGGAGGGTTTGGCGCTTTGGGGCTTTGGGGTTGTTAGTTGAGGACAGTTTGGGGCTCTGGAATTCGGGACGTTCCAACGTCCTCAAACAACTCTAACCGGCAAACGGTGCCAAGTGGAGTGCGTGGCAATAGCATACTGCGCCAGGACGAAAGTTCGTCGCATCCGGTAGGTCTGCTAACACATACTTGCAATCCCCTTTCCCCCATAGACTCCTTCACGAAGTCGCGATGTCAGGCAAGGACGTCACTAATTCCTCCGTCGGAACAAAAAACAGTGTATGTTTATTTTGGCATGGAAATTCCTCCGCTAGCCAGGCCAGGTAAAATGCACTTCTTCGTACTCCGAGTCCTCCGCCAAGCAAAGACATCTTAGTGCGACAAAACTTTCATCCTGCTGATGCTCACCCGCGACTAAAAGCGAGTAGGCACCCGTCCATAAAACCTCCTCCGTGTGACACATGCTGGCCTGGCCTGGCCGAACTAGCGGTCTTGGAATTCATGCTGCTCACCCGCGACTAAAAGCGAGTAGGCACCCGTCCAAAAACCTCCTCCGTGTGACACATGCTGGCCTGGCCTGGCCGAACTAGCGGTCTTGGAATTCATGCTGCTCACCCGCGACTAAAAGCGAGTAGGCACCCGTCCAAAAAAACCTCCTCCGTGTGACACATGCTGGCCTGGCCTGGCCGAACTAGCGGTCTTGGAAGTCATGCTGCGCCAGGACGAAAGTTCGTCGCATCCGGTAGGTCTGCTAACACATACTTGCAATCCCCTTTCCCCCATAGACTCCTTCACGAAGTCGCGATGTCAGGCAAGGACGTCACTAATTCCTCCGTCGGAACAAAAAACAGTGTATGTTTATTTTGGCATGGAAATTCCTCCGCTAGCCAGGCCAGGTAAAATGCACTTCTTCGTACTCCGAGTCCTCCGCCAAGCAAAGACATCTTAGTGCGACAAAACTTTCATCCTGCTGATGTATCATAGCAATAGTGCTGCATCCCAGGCACTTACATGTTAAAACAACCAGTTCAGGGCACCAGATTCAGAGTTGATAGGCGGATAGTCTTGGGGAGCCCAGGATACACATGTGGAACCACCAGCAAGAACGATTGCAAGCAGGATAATCCACAAAGCAAGTTGTCAACCATCCGTTTAGAGGAAATGATACGAAGTTCAGAAATAATTCATTGCCAGGTCATTACGGCGTTACGGGCTTTGGGGAGGAATGGGTCAGAGCGCCTCCTCATCACGAGCATTTCGGGGGGTAGTGACGCTGCTAACGGCTAAAGTAGACTTCTACAACTAACAACAAGACTTTCTCCCTGTCTGGCACTGAAATCTATCAGGAAGTCATCATGTGACCCTAAACCGAACATCTGCAAACTCGAGCCCGACATCCCTTGGAGTGCTGTTCACTCAAAGTCCGAAGCCAGTCCCAAAAGCCTAAACAGCTTGAGCCTAAACCGATGGACGACTGAATTTCATCCCCAGAGCCGTACTACTTGGACACTCATTGAACTTTGGGAGCAAGGTGAGTAAGACGGATTACTGTAGAAACCAGACGGATACTATAAGTAGACTCACGAGTCCGGTAAACCCTAAACCCTAAATCCCTATTAACCCGAAGCCCGGAACCCCCAACGAGCTGGGATGCGTAGCTTGAGATCCCGGCTCAGCATTGCAGACTGGGCACTCCTCTCTCCGAGCTGGGTCCTGCTCGCAGCTTAGTGGAGCTTACGGGTTCTCTAAAGGGTTTTCCAACAACCCGAAACCACAGTTTTTTCCAGCGAGGACTTGCCGTTAGTTCTGGATCACGGGTCTTCATGCGGACCAATTAATCTCAAGCGCATACTCCGAAGACAAATCCTAGACCCCAGGGAGGGGACTCACCCAGTTGGCTTGCACGGCTGCATTAAGTTAGTACTCGTGGTGCTACTATTGCCATCTTCGATAGCTAAGTATGATGTGCCGCTCCTGAACATGTTTTAACAGACTGGGGATATCACTACAATGCGATTCCGGTTCCAGGCATTCAAGCGGCCATCTAGCCAACGTCCTACAGCATGAAAGACTCAAACATCCAGTATACTGCAAAAAATCGAAACTGAGACCGGCATCGCCATCACATTGTGTAAGTCATGGTGCAAGAAGCCACAAGGTTCTCGCGCCAAACAACGAAGTGCGCATGAAGATGTTCAACAGGTTGTATGTACTCGGCGCATCTACACTGCCAGCTTGCTCCCTCTCTGTCTCTCTGTCTGTCGGTCTCTGCCTGCTTGTTTGAATGTGCGTCTGCCTGCCTATTGGTCTATTGAGACAGATCCTGTCCTTCGCGAGCTGAAGTATACCAGGTCCCTGCATTGGCACATCGGCTTGCAATAAGGTTTCGGACGTAGCTTTAGCAAGGGAGATAGACCTGCTCTGGCACTGGATTCAGATAAGCCTCTTCCAGGCTTGTACTCACAGCAGCGTTTACCAGTATTCAGACCAGTAGTCGGACTCTCACGCAGAAACAGACGAAGATGATTATGAGTTTCGTCTGTCATTGTCAGTACGGATGCCGATTATGCTCTTGGTGGTGGTAGTGGTGGTGGTGGTGGTGGTGGTACCGTCAGCGACAGCAGCAGGAGCCGGAGGAGGAGTTGTTGTAGTAGTAGTAGTAGTAGTGGTAGTAGTAGTAGTAGTAGTAGTAGTAGTAGTAGTAGTAGTCTAAAATAATACAATAGACCATGGAAAATGCAGATAATGAAAGATACAATGAACCAAAAAAACAACGTGGGGCAATACAGCTGCATGAAACCATAGGGGTTCTTCCCAAACTTTCCGACGATGCTCCGAACTGTCCCGATCCGAACCGGTTTCGACCCGTTCCGAACTGTTCCGAACCGTTCCGATTCCAAACCGTACCGGACCGTTCCGAACCAGGTTGGGCTACGATTGGCTGCGATCATGGGTCGGGTTCACTTGCCCGGAAAGTGGAGCAGCCTTAAGCGTTTCCAGGGTTTGCGTTTCCAGGGTTTGCCTATATGCTATGTTAAAACAGCATAGTATAATGCAATGTCATGCGCTATAATATATCCGTAGTACTCTGTAACATAACACTGCATAATACAATAAAGCATAGTCAAAGAAGACCGCATGACATACACCAGCATAACACAGTACGGCATAATACACTAGAATGCTACAAAACGTAATTCAGGATAGGACAGCATGCACTACATGCGATGCAGTGTAATGATGTATCATATACATAAACACAGTATAGTGTTATCATGGGGTACAACATGGTATGACAAAAACTATACATTTTGTTGTATCATCTTACGATATGACAAAATGTCATATAATCTACCAACAAAAGCTGTTTACCTAGTATATACAGCATGATACAGTATCTTCATACAATATAAAGTAATGTAGTATAATGTAGCATGATGACTGCACGACGACCGCCCTGCCCGAGAGACTTACTCTCCAAAACCTCCTGTGCGGGCAGCCTGCACCGGTTTAGGATCGGGCTGGCCCATCGTGAGGACACGAACCTGGCGGCGGAAGCTGTTCAACTGACATGGCTGTGGTCTCATGTGTGGTGGCGTTGTGTAAGTAGTATGAACGTAACGACAGTATGTCCACAAGAAAAATGCACCCAAGGTGATAGCTTGATAGTACCAGGCCCATGCAAGCACCCTACACCAAACCATATTGCGATCCGTGGTCATTCACAGCGGGGACAAAGCGGAACAGTATGGCCTAGTCTCAGCCTGATCTTGTTAGAGCTTGACCTAGTATTCTATACTACTATGCTATGTTGTGTGGTATAGCGCCCCCCGGTTTCATTCTGCAGTCATGCTTAGTTGTTGCTTCAGCCTCAGATATCAGTGAAGGAAACTGTCATCGTCGCTCATATGTACATGCTGAGCCGTTGCCAGCCCTTATGCCAAGTGGCAGAGTCGGCGCACCACACCGTACTGCATAGTGTCGTGCACCGCAAGTATGAAACGAAAGACAGAAATGGAGAAAAAGTACATGAAAGAAGCCCCTACATACATACCAACATACGCAAATACCTCCATACCTACATGCATACATACCATACAGACATACATATACAAAGACCTGTAACTGAATGTGTACATATACACATACACGCAGGATGTAATGTCCTATACATGTATGTATATATATATATATATACATATACAAATCTCTATCTCTCTCTATATATATATATATACATTTATTTATTGTTATATTTGTTCATTTTCGTATTTATTTGCAGATGTATCATATGTGTGCAAACCGTTTTCATGTACAAATGCATGTGTAAATACTGTGTACACATGTGATGTTTGTGCGCATGCACACACAATAAACGCATGAATACATGGTTTATGCTTATATACTTTTATATGTACATGTGATGTACAGCACAACAGCCAGGACAGCTCAACATAGGCGAAGCACGCGTCCAAGTCATTACACAAACGGAGCATGCATATTCATGCATCTTCTGCATGCTTAGCATATACATGTATATATATATATGTATATATATATATACATACACTTACATACCCGTTTATAAGAAACACACATGTGTTTGTGTACATATTTGCATATTGTGTACCTATGTACCGTTTATGGTTGTATATACAGGTACAGTGCGTGTATGACTGTATAACCGTATTGAGCCGTATTGACTCATAAACCGACAAATTACTCTATAAAAGACATCACGTATGCAAATACAACGCATATTATCGCGAGTGCATATGCTGCCGACATCCCCTCCCTTCCCAACCGGCGCCGCAAGCACCAGTGTGTTGGCAAAGCCCAACTCAAACCCCAAACCCTGAACGGTAACTCTGAAATCCCCCGTGACGACTCAAATGGGAATCCTAAGTTTGAGGCCATGTTTTTCAATGTCGTCGCTGTTCCCGTCATCCCATCTTACAACCACAGCGGACCTGATCTAGGTCCACTCCATCTTCGGGTACCCACTCTCTGTCGAAAGCCTTTGTAGCCTCCTGTCGAAGTGACCGAAAGCTCGGGCCAGGCTCATATGGGAGTTTCCGAAAATAGAGGACCCTAATATAGCACCCCCAAAATAGTAGGATCCTTGTTATAAGGACCCCAAAATACGGTACCCCTAATTTTCGAAAACTCTCATATAAGGCTAAGGGATTTCGTCTGTGGATTCAATGTTTATATCCATCGTTGGTGATCCATCCATGCATCTATCTCGCAATACGAATACGGACAATGCTTGCAGTACTGCTCCTGCATCTTGCACTGACATGGACCATGGAACCATGAAATTGGGTACTGCCCGCCCATACAGTAACAGTCTATAGTGAAGGATGTCATACTTGTATTTTGATTGGTAGTTCAACCATGAATCGCATCTAGCAAGTTTTGGCTTCTTGATCATGCTTGCATGTCACAATATGTCAACCATGTTCATCAAAGTCGCACTAAGCCTTTGCTAATTCCAAGCTGCACGCCACAGTGCTTGCTTCCAGCTTAGCTTTCGATTACATTTACCCCAACAACTGAGAAACCCTAATAACAATAGCAATATGAACCTCAAAGTTTTGACAACACCGATAATAACAACAGTTGCAAGATAACTAACACATGATAAAAACTAATAAACCTGTCCCACCACTGAACCCCTATAGTAAAAGCCAGAAAGTTGGAATATGATTATCCTAAACCCTTTACGGTAAATTATAGGGTATCCTACCCTGAAACCATATTCCAACTTTCTGGAGTTCCCTTTAAGTTATGACTCCAAAACCCTTGTGCGAGAGAAGCTGAAGTCTCCCCCAGAGACTCGCCGTCCTCCACGTACCTGTGATTAAGCGGGTTTAGGGTTTAGGGGTTTAGGGGTTTAGGGTTTAGGGTTTAGGGTTCACAGGTATCGCTGTATCACGGCTTAGAGCTCTACAAGTTTGGAGGGCTCAGCGCGTTGGGTAGGGGTTTGGGCTTAGGGTTTAAGGGGCTTACAGCTCAAGGCTTAGTGGGCTGGAGCTAAGGCCTTCTGTTAAGGGACATGTATGAATGCGCTGTTTGTTGACTCGCGCTGTTTGTTGACTCCGTACTATGGCAGAGCACAACCCGGATGGAGTCGCCGGATTATGCCAGGGGATACGAAGGACGGTAGTCGATCATCCTTCGAAGGTGATGGTGGTGACTGTACGTAATGCAGGAACCTGATGAAGAATATTTGGGCCCTTACTAGGGTTCTTAGTATGGATTTTAAAAGGCCAGGGTTTCTTAATCAGGTTCCTACATTATCGCGACATGATGTGACTCTTGTGACGAGCAGCCTCAGCCCTGGGCAAAAAAGGGGGTAGGAGGGGAGCAGCAGGAGCTGGCGTAGGAAACCGATGAACACAGCACATCCGCATCCCACACAAGGCAAGGGGGCAGTGAAACTGACGCACGCCGGCCATGATCCCTGATCAATATCTCTACTCCGACTCGCAGTCCCGAAGCCCTCTAAACTCTAAAACCCTGTAAGCTCTAAGCCTAGAATATAAGAGCAATGCCGTCGACCAAACGGGGTTGCCAAAGACTAGATCGAAGGCCACCGACAGCTTCCGTAGACGAACAGGCACCCCAAGCCCTTGTTCATTTCTCAGGTTTAACGATAAACAAAATCTAACCCCATACTATTTTCCCCACACCCGGATCACCCTAAACCCCTAAACCCCTGAACCCCTAAACCCCCAAACCCTAAACCGTTCAAAATCCCGAAGCCCAGAGGCCGCAAAGCGAGGCCCTAACAAGTCAAAACGGCACCCCCTCAGCCGGGGCAAATTGAACTGCGGTTGATGATATAAATCCTGCATTACCTTAAGGACCCTAAAGTATGGAAATTATGGTATATTCCTTATTATGGGTAATGCAGGATTTATATTATCAACCGTACGGCTCAGGGTTTAGCTAGCCAAAGCAGGCTGCCCTTAATCCGAATATCTGAAGGACCATAAAGGAACCCGAATGAAGTCTAGGGGCTTAAGGTTTAAGCTTAGGGTTTTGGGCGTCGGGTTGAGGGTTTAAGGTGTAGTGCCGTGCTCCCGCCATCGCCTCTTGAATTTCCTCTCGGCCTTGGACAGGTCGTACAGCTGGTAAGGAGGTACCTGCTACGTGTAGGTCAACCCTTCAGGTCTCGGTGCAGGGTGTAGTTTATGCTGTTACACCCTTGATGGGACGCCAAAGGGTTTAAGATTCTTGGGGTAGGGATGCCGAAATATGAACCCGATTATGGGAACCCTGATCCCTACTAAACCCCCCATAGACTAAAACCCCTTTTGGCCTCCTATGAACCCTAGAACTCCAAAAACCTGACTTTGAGTCCTAAGCTCTGGCGCTGCAAGGCCCGAAAAGGGTCGGGGGAAACAACGCAAGTTGCGGCGGTAGTTGCCGTAGGAGTCGGGCTCTCCCCAATTGACACACGATGCTGAAGCTCTGCGACATTGCTCAAAGACGGCACTTAGGACTTAGGGATCAGGGCTGTTGGGCTGGGCCCCCGAAGTGGTTCTGGCAGTACCGGGCTCGAATCGCCCTGTTTACACAAGTGCCACAGTGCAGAACCTCCAACCCCGGGGAGATGTGAACTGCCAAGTGGGATATCGTATGTTCCAAGAGGATTCTAAAAACGTGAACAGTTGGACACGACCATGGAAACACGACGCCTGCACTCTCACCAGCTGCTTCTGAGCCCTTTCATTTTCACGAACGGGCTTGGCATTGCTCTAGAGACCCTGAAACCTGAGTAGGCTTCGTGAAAGTTCGATGATCCTGAACCCTAAAACCCAAACTCTTAACCTTCATTCCTGCCCCGGTGTCTGGGGCACATCCTCATAATCTCCTCCCCAGCCATGCAGCTCGCCAGCCTCAACGGCAGTATCAAGCAACCAGATTAGACAAGCTCGGAGAACTTCCATCCACCGGTTCGGACCTTTCGCGCTTGTCTCAGGTTGTGAACCCTAAACATGAACCCTCCCTTTTCCGCAGAACTCGAGAGCTAAGAGCCTAGCTGCCAAGAGATCTGAAGCATCAGCACCGACCTCAGAGGATTTAGGGTTTGGGGTTTAGGGGTTTAGCATATTAAGGCTCAGGGTTTTTAGGGCTGGCCTTCAGAGTTTAGGGTTTTTTCGGGCTCAGGGTTTGGGGTCGGAAGTTGAGGATGTAATCATGGGTGGGGGGGGGGGGGGGCTCGGATCTCATGTTCATTGATCCGTTGGGATTAGTAGTACAAGTGGGTAGTCGTCAAAACCAAGGTCCCTTTTTGGGCAACCTAAACATTCGGTGCCTTATTTATAATAGGGACCCAAAAAGGGACCATAAATTTGACAACCACCCAAGTATAGTGAACCCCAGAAAGTTGGAAACCGGACTAAGGACAAATAGTGCCGGGATCCCCTGTGCATTGATCTTAATGGTTGCGGCTATGGGGTTTCCAACTTTTAGGCTTCTACCGTCGTGGTTTGAAAATGAATTTGAAGGCTTTTTATCTAAGTCGGCAGGGTTGGCATATTATCTGGGGCGATCCTCTTCTAGGACAAAGTGAGGCCAAAGTGGACTTGATGAAGCTTGCAGGGCTTCGACTCAGGCACATTACAGGGAGGTCAAGCTCGCCAATCAATAGTTGAGCTGAATCCCTCCCCTAAACCCTAAACGCTAAACCCGAATCTCTGAACAATGAAACCTAAGACGATGGACAAAGCCGGAGCTGATCCACAAAATGTACCCCTTCTATCGCCACAAACCCTTCGTTGCTAAATTCTCTGAGTGTAGGAGAGCCTGCTGCTCAGCAGTAGCAGTAGCAGTAGCAGTAGCAGTAGCAGTAGCAGCAGCAGCAGCAGCAGCAGGAGCAGGAGCAGGAGCAGCAGCAGGAGCAGGAGCAGCAGCAGGAGCAGTAGCAGCAGCAGGAGCAGGAGCAGCAGCAGGAGCAGTAGCAGTAGCAGTAGCAGTAGCAGTAGCAGTAGCAGTAGCAGTAGCAGTAGGAGTAGTAGTAGTAGTAGTAGTAGTAGTAGTAGTAGTAGTAGTAGTAGTAGTAGTAGTGGTAGTAGTAGTAGTGGTCGTTCTTGTTCTCGTACTAGTACTCGCTCTGGTACTAGTACTAGTGCTAGTACTAGTACTAGTGCGAGTAGTAGTAGTAGTAGTAGTAGTAGTAGTAGTAGTAGTAGTAGTAGTAGTAGTAGTAGTAGTAGTAGTAGTAGTAGTAGTACTAGTAGGAGTAGTGGTAGTAGTAGTAGGAGTAGGAGTAGGAGTAGGAGTAGGAGTAGGAGTAGTGGTAGTAGTACTAGTAGTAGCAGTAGAAGTAGTAGTTGTGGTAGCAGCAGTAGTAGTAGTAGTAGTAGTAGTAGGCGTAGTAGTAGTAGTAGTAGCAGTAGTAGTAGTAGTAGTAGCAGTAGTAGTAGTAGTAGTAGTAGTAGTAGTAGTAGTAGTCTGACTGACTGACTACCACTCGGATGCGTCAAGACGGTTCCTGAACAAGGAGCCGCATCTGTGGACTCCGAAGGGACCTCCGCTCAACCAAAACCTCAGTAAGCCACAAGCGGGCCTCCCAAGAGACAGAGGCGCAGGCCCAACGGTACGGGTAGTTAGCACACAGCACAAGGCCAAGGTGGCTAACCCAGTAGCAGTAGTAGCAGCTGCAGCAGGAGGAGTAGTAGTAGTAGTAGCAGCAGTAGTAGTAGTAGTGGTGGTGCTCTGAAACAAGCTTTCTTTACCAAGCTCCAAGCCAACCTTGCGGATTTCTTTGCAGGTTTTTCTGGCGCTTGTTCGGCGAGTTGCTGCCTCCGCCGTTCTCCACGCGGTCAGCGCTTCGGCTTGGGCTTAGAGTTTAGGGTTTGGGCTTCAGCGCTTCACCAGACTGGCAATTGTAGCGTGGGCTGTTGAGTTTGAGGTTGTCAGGTTCCATGCAACCCACGACCTCAATTTCGGAGCAGACACGACACAAGATCCGAAACATGCATTTCTGAAATGAATCAAAAGAAGCCAGTAATTACATGCAAGAACTTCCGCGCAAACATTCCGAATGACTATTGAATGACTTGAAGGTTCTGCAGATTTCGACGCACACTGTTCAGTTCAGGATTATTTACGGTTGTGGGTGCGGCTGGTACGTGCTTGCACTCGGAGTGAACCCTGTCTATACCCATAGGCTCCATTGTAGTTTCTTTTTGGGGTTCATATTTAGAATCCTATAATGCAACCCCCCAAAAGGAACTACTATGGAGCCTATGGGTACGATCACACATCCGGCCGAAGCACTGTTTGCCACAGATATATATTTTCAAGCCTTCTATACTGAACTTAGACCCCTAGCGAAAAACAATAAAATAGCTGTTTCTTTGGGATTGTAATAACCGAAGATTAAAACGTCTAATGACATTGCAAACCTATTGAAACAAGGCGCCTGTACTGACCTTAAATTAGTGGGATTTGCGGAGCTCTCTAGTTCGTTCCTTTAAATTTGAGACTCCGCTGGCGTTTCGCGGACAGTGGGGTTTGGGCCATTGCTCCGAAATGGCAAAGATGCCCAACTGTGTGAAGCGACAGCTACCGCACAGCAAGCATCTCCAAAACCTTAGTACTTAGTAGTATAGGGTTCGGTTTTGTATAGTTTAAGGCTCGACAGACGAAAACCGACTCTTATTAAACTATCTTATACAGACCTCAAGCCCACCCTAAACCCTAAACCGCGGGTTTAGGGTGTAGGGGTTTAGGGTTTAGGGCCCAAGCGCTTAGCCGGCCCAAGCGTTCGTAGCCGCAACGGCCAGCCTCTTTGGCAGGGCCAGAACGCCAGCTGCGCCAACCATTGGCAAGTTCTGCCGGGCTTGGGGTTGCGGTTCGGCGTTTAGGGATCTTTGTTTATATACATATATAACATATATAACATATATATATACACATACAGACATACATATATATATATATATGTACAGTCGATTCCCTGAACCCGAAACCCTTATAAACCCTAAATTCCAAGCCCCTGTTCCCAAACCCTGTTCGGGGCTCAGTGTTCGTCAGGTGACTGTAGGGCTTCCTGGTTCCTTTAATGGTTCCTTCAAGGGCCTTTACATGGCCGTTTAAAGTTCCTTTACAACTTCCATTACGGGTTCCTCCTTGCCGGCTCCTTTCAGTCTGAGAGAAACCCCAAAGCCCAGGTCTGCATACATCCACTACAGCACAGCACAGCGCAACGAAACTACTCAGAGAGCCTTTTCCTTGATTTGATCCAGCAGAACGATCACAAACCAGAAAAAAACACAAGGCAGTAAGACCAGGACATGTTTCACTCTTCAGCTGCCAAGCCGCCAGCAGCAACATCTTGCAAATCACACGTCTTGTGCAATATGATGTCAGGATATATGAGCAAGAACAGCAGCAGATATCAGACCAGGACTGATCAAGCCTTGAACATTCAACTCTGCGCCTCCGCACGAAAATTCCAGATCAAAAGGGCCAATGCAGAGTATAAGGCACGTAGCAACGACAAACCAACATACACACCCAACCCGAAAAAGAAAGGTCCAATCAAAGCGGAGCTGCTGGCCTCGGCCCCCAGAAGGGTGCCCGGTGGATCGCCTTCTGCCCCCGGACCACTGTGGGGCGTCAACGGAACCGACCTGCCGAATCCGGCGGTCGGTAGACTTAGCACTCAGGGTTCTCGATCGGGCTTCCATGAGCTCGGCAGGGGTTACAAGGTGTCCATAGACAAATATATGAATGTACAAATCCCCACACACACATACATAGGCATGCATACTTATAGATGCATCTACAAATAAACAGGTATGTGCGCATGAAAGTTACACGTTCATATACATACACCTATACATATACATGTGCATGTCCATATACATATGCATATGCATACATGAACCCATCCATGCAACCATCCGTGCATGCATACATACATACGTAACTGTGTATATGTATACAGGCATAAGGGTATTCATATATAATATATCACATTCATCATACATCATATACACCAGTACCATCTATCATTTATCATCTGTCGTATGTCTTATCATATACCGTATGTTACATGCATATATGTATGTGTGTATATATATATATATATGTATGATGTATATTAACATGTGTATATACATATACCCACATGTATGCTGAATTCATAAGTGCGCCTCATAAGTATGTGTTTAATTAGTTTCTTCAGAAGGCGAAACCGTTAAAGCAATAAACCATATTATCAACATTTTTAATCTAATTCTTAATATAGAAACAATAAACGCGCTAGAACAAGTTGAAGAAATTGTAATACAGTCGCCACGATACAGGAAGTGTTGCCATTCAGTTTTAGAATTGATAAAAGTTTGGTTAAAAAGTTTTAGAAATAAAAATATCTAGATTTTGAAAATTTTAATCTAAAACTTTTATATGGATAAAGTTGATATCAGTATGGAATGCTTCAAAGAAGAAGTTATGCAAAGCCTCCAACAGATTTACAATAAACTAGGTGAGATTGAGGCAAAGCCCACCGAGAAAGCACAAGTCTTGAATAAACCAGTGCCTGATAAAGACATAACTTATCAGAATAAAGTTGAATAACAGTGAACACCCAAACAAACCACGTTACAGAACCACAATATTACTAAATATGGTGTTAGATATCTATAAAAGTTTGAGAAGGTGAATAATAGCTCTAATAATAATTATTGGTTGGAAACGCAGAAAATCCATGACTTTGATGCTGTATTTGGGATTTTATGCCATAACATCACTTTCAAAAAATTCTTTTGACATTTTTCTGTTTCTGGTTTGTTTTTTCTAGAGAAGAAAACACAAAAAAGCGGGCGTGGCGAAATCGCATGACCTAAGTAAGCAGTCACAAGTACAACCCTAATAATACACCTCAAGCAAAACCTAAACCACAAGATCCCTACAAACAAACAACACAACAGACCTACCTCAGCCTTAGCCCTAAGCTCTGACTCACGACAAGTCGGGACTTCTGCGGTCTCAATGATAGGATTAACCGCCACGTTGGCAGCTTTGCAGTCTCAATGTTAGGAAGAGCCGGCACGAAGGTTCAACAACCAACCCTCTAACAACCCTGAAAAGCCACCCCAAGCACGGTTCAAGAAACCAACGCGAAAGCAGTTGAAAAAGGTGTTGATGAGGAGGTAGAAGACAAATACCTGGCGAGCGTATCAAGCTGCGGGCTTGGGGGTAGGATTAAGGCTTAAGGTTCATAGGGGTAGGGATTCAATGTTCCAAAGTCCGCTTGGAGGTTCTTAAAGATGCATGGGGCTTCCATGACTAAGGGTATCTTGCAGGGTTTAAGCTTGATCATTTTTGGTGTTTGGGGTTGAAGGATTCAGGCTTAAAGCTTTATAGCTGTAGAAGTCTTGTTGAGGGTCAGAAAGTAGGTTGTTTGGGTACTTCGTAGAGATTCCTAAGAACACAATAATGGATTGGGGGGCGAATGATGGCAAGCGTGGGCCGAGCAAAAGCACAACACTTTTGCTCCGCCCTCCTGGCTCAGGGTGCTTCGTTCTGGTATTCAGAGGAAGCACGCAGGGACGCAGCCAGCACTGTAGATCCTGTCATCAACTCGTCCATGACAACGAGCGCATGCCCGGCGAAATTGCTTGAAAGACTAGACCCTCGATGTTCAATGATCTCTTTGAATGACATGCCCAATGCATATCTGTCCAGTGCCATACGGCACCACCCTCCAAAGATTAGTGGTGCAAAATACAATGATCCTGGTCCGTGCCGGCTCTGCTCATCCAGGTTCTCGGAAGAATCAAAATCCACAAGCTTCAGCTTCCAGCCTTTCGATTTCATGTCCTTCTTCAAGTGAACCATGTTTCGAGGACAGATGTCCCGATGTGCAATTTGCACACTGTGCAGGTAGCTCATCCCGGCCATCGCGCATCCAAATGCATCGCGCAAGCCAGCGTTGGGTATGTTGTGCACTGTCGTGCTTTCCTCCAGCGAGGAGCCCAGCAGTTCAAAGGCAATGGCCGGCACAGGGCTGCAAGATGTGAAAATCACCCTGGCAACGAAGGGGTGCCGGAGCTTGCGCATAATCTCCGCTTCGTGGAAGAAGTCGTTTCCCTGGCAGTCGTTCTGGTCATGGCGCTTGAATTTCAGTGCGCACTTCATAGTAGATTCGTGGAATCTGGCTGCAAACACTTTGCCCCATGCCCCCTTTCCAATCTGAACCTCTGGGGCGACCACGTCTGGCCAATGGAGAACAGAGGCCAGCAACTCTGTTGTCTTCAGGGCGCCTCGCCTAGTTTCAGGTTTGGACCTCAGGAGGCGCGGCAGAACATGAGCGCAAGGTGGTTGGGGAGTCTTTGTGGCCTTCTGGCGAGACAATCCACCTGGCGTGTCCAGGAAACGCAGCAGATGATAGTGTCCTGGCCCTGGGTCAATATGCCCTCGCTCAGCAAAGCGAGCGCTTTTCGAAAATGACATAGACGCTGTAGCTCTCAAAACATCAAATAAACTCTTGTCAGGAAGGCTTCCGGCTTAGCACCCGGGCATCACGTTTAAATGAAATGAAAATTATGCTACTCCACACACTTTGAAACAAAGCTAATATCTACACCAGAAAGCTGCAACAACTGCTGCACGCACAGCTTTCGAGCCAGTGGCTATCACAGGTTGTCAAAGTGTTTGTATGAAGCCCGTGACATGGGCATCGCAACTGTGTTACGGGCAGAAGCGCTGCAGAAAAAAGGCCCTGAACAGAGACAGCTCGTCAAAAACAGTTTCCCGGCTACAAGTACAGCCAGTGAGAATAGTAGCGGCGTGGTACGCAAGTACTAGCGTAGCAAGCCCAGGAACTGCCTTCAGCCAACCAGAAATGACAGCGCCTAAACCTTAAGCCCTAAAGCCTAAACGCAATCCAAGCACAGCAATCCGCGGTGTCGCAGAGTTCCGGAAGTTAATTCGAGCAAGGCCGACCTCCTGCCGATGATGTCGTCGAAGATGGTGTTGCCAGGCGCGTGGATAGGAGCTTTGGGTTTAGGGATACATAAAACTCTACAAGGGGGCCCGCCCCGTTTTACTAGGATAAGATATTACATAAAATTATGTAATATTTTATCGGGATTGGTTGAGGCTTGATGTTGAGGCTCGGTGTTGGTTGGTTGCTTGAGTTTATGGGATAGATTAGTACTAAGGTGTGTGTATAGGGTAGTATGAGGAAAGTTGAGGCTGGGGCGGGGAGAGAGAGAGAGAGAGAGAGAGAGAGAGAGAGAGAGAGAGTGTGTGTCTCTGTCGGCGCGAGCGAGCGAGAGTGTGAGAGAGTGAGAGTGGAGAGTCCGACTGAGCTTTGGGGTTGTAGGGCTTAGCCTTAGAGGTGCAGGTGTTTAGGATTTCGCAGTCTATGGTTCAGGGGGCCTGTTGTGCAGACTATGCACAGGAACAGAATTCTTATGAAGACAGAGCCGAAGAGGATCCATATTGCCAAGTACCCTTGAACAAAGTAAAGATCAAACTTGTGCATATGCCCAATTCAAGGAACCCTTAACCTCCACTTAACAATGAATTGCAGAGTTGTGATGGCAGGGTGCTTTACGCCGCATCTCGCGCAAATCCTGCAGCAATTGGCTTTTGTGCCTACAATGTCCGAGTATCAAGCAGTTTTGAAGATATACACCCAAACCCAACACCCTCAACCCGCCCCATAACCCTTGGCTGCTGGTGGTGCCTGCCCTCGTGCTTGCCTCGGGCCGGGTGCGGATTTCAGGCATCAGGGATGCCGGACTAAGTATCGGGGAATGGAATTAAGCTTCCGGGGTAGGGTTGAGGGTTTGGGCACAGGGGTGTGGAC